AAATCGGTCTATCATAGTGAAACTTGGCATACGGACGCATAATAAGTAAGTTGGGGTATTTGCAAAATTTCGAAATTCCAAGCATTACGGGAGTTACGATTTCGGGGGGAGATGGCGAAGGAAGGGAAATTCCAAAATACACATTTACTGCGTATTCACATAAGGCATCTGGGACTAAAATTTGGTGTTCCTAGGTCTTATAGTCTCCGAGATATAGGCGATTATACGAATGGGAAATCGGGAAAACCCCCATAGGGGGAAGTGGGGGGGGGGGGGGGGAATCTAAAAAATAAAACAAACTCGTATGGCGTACACACATAAGGCATCTTTGTGCAAAATTTGGTGTCTCTATCTCTTATAGTCTCTGAGTCTCTGAGATCCAGGTGTTCATACGGACGGACAGACAGACAGACAGGGCTAGATCGGCTCGTCTTGTCACGCTGATCAAGAATATATATATAATATACTCTTGTTCATTTCATGTACAGAGTATAATGAGTGTTCTTCAAGCCGAAGCACGAAATCACAGCAATCAATTTGAATTGGCAGGGCTGCTGTTTATGTTATTTGTTTATCTTCTTTTATTGTTGTCTTGAATGACTATGGTTAAAACAAACAAAACAATGCCAATGTCAATCCATAGATTCCATTGAACTTTTACTATGCGTGAGTAAAGAAAAAGAAGAAATATAGAAACGAATAACAAATAATTATCTACGAATCGCCTATGACGCTCTTTTATTGCTTGGAGATAATTTTTTGTTTTATTTTGTTGTAGTCAAAAGTTATTCATTCTAAGCTAAGAGCTTAAAGTTTGTCGCATTCTCTTTTTAAACCCCCAACAAAAATTTGCCATCTGAAAGATAAGATATGACGGTTTGGGAACGAACTTTCAATTATAGGTGTAGTCATGAGTCATAGGGTAAAATATATAAAGGTACTTTTTGATTAGTTTTGTTTCATTTGCTTACAGCAAATTTAAATATAAAGGTGTTTTAACATGCGGTATTTTATAATGACTAGTTTCCTTTGTAAGTCGACTACTAAATTTGAATATTTGATTAAGGAGCCGCAAATCACATTTGACATTAGTCAGTGAATTGGAACTTACTTTGGGCTTTGTAATCCAAATCCATTTGTGATTTTTTTTAATGTTACTCATTTAAAGTTTCTATGTGTTTTAAGTATATCGGTATTTTGAAAATATTTTATGTTACTTAGTTTTTTCAAAATTATGTGTTTATAAATTGGCATCAAGTTTTGTATAGTGACTCATAACATTCAGAAGTTTCAGTAAATCCATTTGGTTTAAGTCAAGGCATATCTATTAAGCTAATACAGATTTTTTTAACAATTGAAATGTTGCACGAATTTGATAAATATAATTCCAATATACATATGTGGTCCATGATTACCTTGACCTTCAACGTACAAGTATTTAACATCCATCTAGTTGTCATATAAAAAATGATTGTTAGGTCAGATTTGCGATTAATAATATTAATAATTATTGGGTGCGCAATATTAACCTGACAGCATAATACAGGTCGACCTGTGATATTACTCACTCTTTTTGTCTCTCCGAGTGATCTTTCTGTCGCATTGTTTAATTGAAACTTACGCGTGCTTAGCCACTTTATTTTGTCGAGCTACCTATGTATAGTACGTTACTGAAACTTTCGCTTTCAATTTCTTTTTGGCCAATGTTTGTCAGAGTTGCTGCCAACAGCTGCTGGCCATAAGAAATTTGCATTTCAATGCCGTCGCATTGTTTGTGACCACAACTGTAAACTAAGTCGTGCAATTGTCGTGCTCACATAATCGACAAAAACCAAAATAAAAATGTAAAACGCATCGCATTGCAAATGCTGACAGATATATAGATACATGTACATATACTATATACACGGCATATATATTTAACGTGGACACATATGTGTGAGATCGATGTGCAAAACACTACATAAACACAGTAAATAATGGCACAATTCAAATGAAGTCACAGAAAAACAAATACAATAAACATTTCTTTTTTGAGCATAAATTATCTCAGAGAATTTCATGAGCAGAAATGTCGTTTCCAGCTTTGGACCATTAGAGAGAGAAGTCAATAGTTCGGATCAAATATTTTCAAATGATCGATTTGAATGCTGACTCAACATCAGTACCTCTTTATTACTAATGGTCAGCGTCATTTAGAATGTCGTTTTCAATTTCTACTAATTTACACATAGACATACATATGTACATAGTACGTACAAGTGAATGCAAACAATACCCTTCAAATAGTCCAAATGGAAGTATCACGAGATGAACTTAAACAATTTATTTTAAGACAATGATTTGTAGTATAATGTTGTGACCTTGAAGTTGTGTAATATCCTTAGGAAGCAATAATAAAATTTGTTTCCAAGGACAACAGTAGAGGAAATCAAAAACTACTTAAGACAGAAAAACATCATTTTACTGTCGATGGTAACGCAATTTCCAAACGCTAAAGTTACAAGTGCATGCAATCTTCGAATACAGACTATTTCTGAAATTTAAACATATGCATATCTACATAGTATGCAAGGCTAGGGAGCGCTTAGCGGGTTTGGCATAATAATGTGCGCTATACGAATATACAAGTATGTACAAGTTCTCGTAATCGCTTGTCATTTGAGGACAGTCACTGTGTCGCACTGTCCGCCTCACTACAAAAGTTGGCGTTAGGTTTTATTAAAATGCGGTTTCAAGTGTACAGCGCTTAAATAACTAATGGAAACATCACAACGAGTGGGACCAATGACAATGGTGTTGGATTCGCATATATCACGAAAGCGGCAACAATAACAACAGTGATGTAAACAATCATCACATCGGTATGAGTCATCATCATCTTCTCAGCGCAGCTGGAGGGCTGTTTTGTGATTCAGAGCAGACCGCACACACAACACATAAAGGAAGTGTACACTTTATTCTGTTGCATTGCACATAAATGAGACGTGTACGGTTGAAGACAGTATGTGAATATGTACACATATAAGCACAGTGAAAGCTCATTTAACGAACACGACTATTAAGCCTGTCTTATCCGTATATACTTGTATAGATATGATGTTTCCACAGACACGATCGGCACAATAAAAATAACAACAAACTTTATATATTTATTAAACTACCCGAAAAAGTACGTTAGAACTCTTTTAACCCAAATTCGGTTTAGCACGGCTATAACTTGGCTTCCTTCCCCCTTTTAAAGTGCTGAAAACATTCTTCTTGTACGATTAAAGTTGAAAAAATATAAAAAAAATGAATTTCAATTTTGTTGCTGGAGAAGGCCCAGGCCATTCAACAAATTTCAGCTAGACCCCCAAAAAAATATTTCTTCCACCGAATACATCACTTTTGCAGGGTATAATATAATATCAAGGTATAATATGACCTTTCAAGGCATACTTATCAGATATCCATAGGGAAAATAGCTACAACAATATGAATTATATCGGGTATCGTATACTGAGTTGATATCATAATACTCGTTCAAAACATAAGTTATTTGTCTTGAAAGGTGTCGTTTTCTTTAAGCCGCCATCTGAGCTCAGATTTAAATATTCTACTGGCAGCTGGGATATTAATTTCCCACAACATAAGTTATAATTTGTAAAACTAACATTTTGAGTTCTTGATCTGTCGTTACACTGTACTCAAAAGTACCCTAAAAGAGTGCACAAGTGCATTGAATGCAGTTGCCTTGCCTTGCATTCCCTTCTGATTCCTACACCACCACTTATGTATACTATTTGTATGAATGCGCATATGTTATGTATGTATGTATGTACGTTCATACATGAATAGTCGGTTGTCATTTATAGAGTGGCAGGCATTGTCAATTGATGTTACAGTCAATGTTTTTTACAATGTCTGGCCCCATCTGATGATTGCTTGCTGCTCCTTCTGTGAGAGGTTTGGAGGTCTGCCTCACAACAATGGCCCACATGGAAATATTTTCAACGTCAAGTGCTGCTGTTGTTGTTGCTTTTGGCAACAATAAAAGGTTGCCTCTTCTCACACTGCGGCAATGACATTGAACTCAGCAGTCAGGCTTTTTGTGGCCAGGCCGTATTTCCGTGAAGGAAGTAAATTATGCAAGTATGACGTGACGTACTGTTGCCAGAGCGACTTACAAAACTCGAACTTTTTTAAAGCTACAAGATACATATGGCATCATATATATGTGTGTGTCTCTGTGCATGTTGCAAGTTTCAACATGCCCCAAAACTACCCCAACAGCACTTTTCTTGCCTTCGAGTGGTGAGCGCATTGCACTTTTTGTAGGTCAGTTCTGCGCGCTTTTGCCTCTACGTTTTGTTTTAATGTGATTAAAAAGCCAACGCGGCAACCTAATGTGGGCAGGGTGATAAAAATCAAAGCGGAAGAGTTTGTTGCACTCTGGTGGGTGGTGGGCGCTTGACGACTGGGTTTTGACCGGAAATTGGTTGGGCTGCGTTGCATACTTTTAGGTCACTAATTTCTGACTCTGTGTGAGTAAATGCGTATAAAGATAGGGAGACAATAATTATGCAAATTTCTTGACGGAGGTTTTGTAATTTTGCAATTTTATAGTTTCTCTTGCTCACTCCAAGGCAAAAGTAAACACATAAGTTGAGAGTTAGATAAAAAATAATACATTTAGACGGCGATAAGATAAGCATTGGCCAACCATTATGGGCGGGTGCCGTGCTATGTATGAAATATTGCATATTTCTACATTTTTTAGCTCAGCTATTGACTACAATATGAACTTGAATCGTACATCGATAAGGTACTATTATTGAAATATTTGAAATATGATTTCAATGTTACGAGTTACAATAACTAAATAAATATGCTAGTATTATGAACCGTTATTAACAAATAAAGACGGCTCTGTCGAGGGCCATGATGACGCTCATTTCTTAAAAAGAAAGAATGAAAAGAAAAACACTAAAAACGAGTTAATTTACAAACACACTCACCTTGAAGCGCGTCACTCGCTGAGATTGTTGCTTCAATGACTATAGTTGTTGTTTTAGCAATTGTTGTTTTTGATGCGTTAAGAAATTCTGGACTGGCGTTTAAACCAGGCCTGGCTAGATATGTCTTTGTTATTGTGGGTGTGATTGTGCGGAAAGCGGCGAAAGCCCAAAATAAGACACTTGGTGGTGTTAGCTCAATTTTTTTTGCACTTGCACTCAACTCGGATTAGCAAACCATCAGCAACTATAATAATTGCAACGTAGCAGGCATTGCCAATTGTTGTTAAGCTGGCAATTTAGGGTTGTGGGGCGGCGGGTGTGATATGCGCGCAAGTGCTGCTGCTGCCGTTGGTCACTTTTTTGGCGAAATTATGCGTAGAATTTGTATGGGGCACGGACACTTGCGCTGCCCAAAATTTTGATCGAAGCGCGTTTATTGTAAGGCCATGCGCGGCGCGTGTTCGACCGAGGATTACTCGGTGTTGTGGTGTTTCAAACAATTTCCTTGTAAAATGCCGAAATATTAACGATGAACAAATAACTTAACAATTTACAATTTTCATTTTACACACACACACGGTCACGCCAGTGTGGCCGTATTTGGGGAACGAAAAAACGCGAAATGGCTGGAGAAGGGAAGACACTAAACGCGTGTCACGAATTTAATGGTGGTAGAGAGTTGCTGGAATGGTATAAAGAATTTCGTTTGACACTCACTTTGTTTATGTCATATGTACATTATATTTTTAATTATTGAAATTCGTAAGTTAAACAGTTGTAAGTTACACATGTTTATTTGGGAAAATTCAATATTAAATGAATTCGGTTATTTTCAATGCCATTTCTGAGTTGTCAATCTAGTAAAACAATTTTTCATTTAATTTTTACTTCTTTACATAAATTTCAAATATAAATATAACTTATTTACATGATTGTAACTTAGAGTTAATCCTAAAGTGACAAAGGTCTTAAGGATAAATATTATTTATATGTATGATTGGGCTAAAAAAAACTAAAACTGGCTTATGAATGGCATATTTAAAATTATTTGATACCACATTTGGTTAAATCGATTACACATCGCTAGGGCCACACTTTGCTTGCAGCATTTTATTTTTGATATCGATATGTTTGGTGCGTCGAATATTTAATCAAATCGGACTCAAACCAATTTACGAATATTTAGAATTCTGTACTAAGTCTGCCTCCTGCGATCGTTGTCGCGGTTGAAATGGAAAACTATAAAGAGTTAAATGCCGAACTGGTAGCGCAAGTGCAGAAACAAAAGTTGGAAATTTCTGAATACCGCAAAGGACTCATTCAACTAAACGCACAGTTGCAGGAAGAGCATGAAAAACGCGTATTTGAAAGAACACGCTACGAGGAGGAGGCAAAGGAGAGAGAAACGAAGCTTAAGTGTGCGCTTAGTGAGCTTATGCGCAGTCTAAACATTAGCACCAACTCACAACAGGAACTCCACCGCATTGATAAGACTTTGACGCCACAAGCTCCACCTCCAGCATTATCTACCGATGGGAAGAGACAAAGCGATCGCAGCAGTAGCAGCACGAAGATGTGCAGGGAATTGCGGCATTCGAGTGCTCTGTCCCGCCACACTATTGTCCTTTCACCTAGTCGACGCTTAAGCATGCGCAGAAGCAGCAGTAGCAACAACCAAAGCGTTGAATTTATTGACAGTAGCTCAGCAAGCGAGGGTGAGGAAGAGGAAGAAAACACAGAGCAGCAAGCAAACCCAGCGGGGATGGCAGAAGCAGAAACTCTTCACAGTTCACCACAACCCAGGCGAATTTCGGAGCTAGATGTTGACATTAACTGGCCAGAAGAGGCAGAAGCAGTGCCTCAACAGCAAGAGGATCCTGCAGCAGTTTACTTGTATTCCATTCAAGAGGAAGATAGCGACAGCGAAGACACGTCCTTTAGGTGTGCTGTCCAAAACCCAACCTCTACGCAACCTATGCAGACTCGTCGGCGAGCTATATTAAACGCAACAGAGTCGCCTCTGCGAGACGTAACAAATAGATCCATCGCCAGTCCAAAGACAACTGCACGAGGCAGTCGTAAATCGCCGCGTATAGAAGCCGCGAAGCCAACACCCAGTCCACATCTGACCCGGACCATGAGTCGCATGTACGAAGAGACTGATAATGAAAACATGAGTGTACAGCAAGCGCGGTATGTCGCAAACTTATCCCCCGAAGCGGCAAGCTTCAAAAACTTTGGGGTCGCCACGGATCTGACGCTAACGCCTAAACGAAGCAGCCTGGAGTTAAGCTATGCTCAAGGAATCGATAATGCACCACGCAGCACGCCAATTGCGTGTCCAAGAAAAAGCAATTCAGGATTCACGAAGGACGATGAAGAGGTAGTCGTTGTGGCTTGCAGAATGGCGTCACGTGGCCGCAAGATCAGTAGATCAAAGCAAATATCTGTTACGGATTCCGAAACATCTAGTGAGACCTTTGGCGGACGTCCAAGCCGATCGTGCCGCCCAAAAACACTCAAGGAGCCGAGCTTGGGTGCAAAGTTACGCAATGAAACAAAAGAAAACTCGTTAACGAAAAAGCGGAAATAACATAACTATTGAATGGAATAAAAGCATTTAGCCAGTAATCAATAATTCTAGCTCTAAACTATTTTTTGCGTTTAATTTTTCACATCTAGTGTATTTAACAAATATTTTTTAAAAATGTATTTTTTAAGAATTTAGACATGAGTTCGTTATTATGTCGAAATAAAGACTTTTTAAAAACACAATGCAAATTTGATGAGCGTGAAATCCAAAACATTTAATTTATTGAATGTTTATTTTATAACAAATTAAATTATCATAAGGAAAAATCAATTTTTCATAAAAAATAGTTTAGCCTAAATTTATTTCTTCAGCAGTAAAGTTATTTGTTTATTTTGTTTAGTCATTATTGTGTCCACATCCTCGATTTTATCGTTTATTTTGTCGATCAAATCATTATGCAATTCAATTTCGGTGCCCATATCTGTGGCCAAGACTTTTAAACGCGTCACGCTGTCCAACATATTTCCGAGATTCGACTCTAGTCGTGACTCGAAATCATTTTCTTCCCGCTGTATAGGACGATGCTGGGAAGCACTACGATCGTTAACTATTCTGCTTAACGGAGGATTATCGCACAGTTTTTTCGATGTCATTGAAACTATTTCCGCATTGGTACTTGGCTTAGCCATCTGAGAGGCATTAGAGTCCCTGGCTGGAATAATGCTATTATTCCTTGAGAAATAGTTTTTGAGCCCACCAATACAACTTTTCAGTCCCGTTAAATATCTTTGACTGGTGCGTAATGTCGAATTGGTTTCATCCAAATGAACGTACGTTTTCTGTAGCTGCTCGTGCTGTCTAGTCAGCTCCACGGCAGTTCCTGCACCTACCTCCTCGGCTTCGGAGAGCAGACCCAAGCAACGTTCTGTTGAATCCAAAGCATGCTGCTCGAATTGTCTGCGTTTCTTATCTATATCCTGTCTAGTAGTTGACATACAACGTTTTTTATCCATTTCATCGTTGGCTTTTGCAAATTTTTGAGAGTTTCTTAAAAAAATGTCATCTTCGACTTCGGGAAACAAATTGTCCAAGTGATTGTTAGCCGACCCTAAATCATTTGTCGCCATACCTTCAGAGGCTGGATGTTTTTATTTTTGTGCTTTAAAATTTTTATACGTACATATGTACATATGTATATGTATGTATGTACATTAGAGGTTTGACGTTCCGAAAAAAATATCAAACATCGATGTATTATTTTCCACCTCGATTTTAACATCGATGTTTTTAACTTCTCTAAAAGCACAAAAGGCGGCAAAAGTGTAAGTACAATGGACAGCGTAACCATGGACAAATATACATTATATATGTATGTGTGTGCCTGCAACATCTTGCGAGTCTGAACGAAGCTTCAGCAAAGCAGGACAAATCGTGTCAAATCGCAGATGTTCTCTTAAACCGAGCACAGTCAATAAGCTTTTATTTTTAAGCAAAAATTACGATCTCGTTAATTAAGTTGTTAAATGTATCTCTATTCTTGAAGAATACATTTTTTTCGTTATTTTCTTTTAAATTTGCCTTCAAAAACTTCGATGTATCGATGTTTTTGCTTCAGAACATCGATGTTAGCTAACATTTAAAAACATCGATGTTTGCAAAACTCGATGTTTTCCAACCTCTAATGTACATATTTTCTGTAGCTTAACATTTGTCACTACTTCGTTGCTCTATCAAATTTGACATTAAATATACGATTTCACTTTTTACAAGAAATTGGCGTGAAGTTTAGCCGACTGCTTGGATGGACTAAATGATAATCAGAAATTGGCGTGAAGTTTAGCCGGCTGCTTGGATGGACTAAATGAATAAGTTGTGAAATATTTCAAAGTGCAGTCCGTTTTATTGTGCGACCTAAAACCACAAAGTAAAACAAACTATATTTCTGTATATCAGGGACCGCAAATAATGATTAATTTGCTTTTTTAATCAAAAAAATCATTCACTAATAACTTTGAGTAAGCGAGCAGTTATCCTTTTTTAAGGATTATCTATGCATTTTCACTCTGATTTATACATTTTTTTCATTCGCTCACAATTTAATGATTCATTTTGAGTTTTACTTTAAAAATTAACCAATAATCAATATTGATGAGCAAAAAAAAAATAAAACTTATAAAATAATGATTACGCTTTGAGTTTTATTTTTTTGATAAAAAAAATTATTATGTAATTTTTTTTTAATACTATTTATAATTGTTACAGTCCCTTCTTTATATAGAGCTTGATTTTGCATTAAATTTTTCAAGAATATCCGTTTCAGTTTAATTTAAGACATATCCAATTTGATCTTGAAGCTTTACTAGAAATAATCAAAAGCTTTTTCAAAAACAATGAAAGTGCCAAAATCTTATTGTCTGTATAAATTAAATGAATTTTCATTTTATGATATTTTAAAACATCGATACTGTTTATGATTGCATTCCTGTTGATATTGGGAAAATATCCATATTTAAACAAAAAATTGTTGCAAATTAATTCTACAACAGTGAAGTCATTTATTTTGAAACGTTATTATTGAGTTCACGCCCTGAACTTTTTAGTTCATTTTGTCGATCAAATCATTTCGATTTCTGTGTCCATATCTATGGCCAAGCCTTTTAACATATTTCCAAAATTCGACTCCAAAACATTTTGTTGCCGCTGGACGATGCATGAAAACACTGCGATCGTTAAGTATTCGGTTAAGCGGATGATTATCGTACAGCTCCATTGAAACTATTTTCGCATTGGTACTAGACTTAGCCACCTGAGAGACATTTAAGCCCTTGATTAAGTTCATACAGTAATTAAGTTAATACTCGCACGCAACATCGAAATAAAAAACATGATAATAAAACACAATTTTGAAGTTTACGGTTTGGTTGATTTCGTTGGTGACTGAATTTATTCCATTTTATATTTGTGATTGTTTCCTTATTTTGCCCTCTGAAAAAAAAAAAAACAAACAAACAGAGTGATCCATTTTTAAATCTGTTTTGAAAGAAGTACCACAAGTATACCTCGAAATGTTCATGTAGACATTGTATTGGGTTCACTTTATTTTTTTTTATGTAATAGTCAATGTATAATGTGTGTTTTTAATAAATATGCTCATGGGTGTTGCAAGCCTATTAGACTGTAAGCAAGCGCACCATTAAATTTGATTTAGTTTTGTGTTTTTTGGAATAACATATACAAAAGCAGTAAAGAAAATCGTGCTAAATATACAATAATTGTTTAATTTGGAATATACGAGTACGTGACTCTTGCAGCTAGATATTAATTGCACTTTTGAAAACCGAGGATTGGGGCTAGTATTGGCCTCACACAACTTCGAATTTGCCCAGGCAGCAATTCAAATGATCCACAGCATGTGGTACGCTGGGTACAACAGGAGCCTGCTCGGCATTTTCCTTCATTTCTGTAATGATGTCCTGTATTTTGTGCAGTATCTGCTGTGAGTCTTGTGTGGCATTTGATTGCTGCTGCACTTGCTCCATCTCTGGAGGCGTTGCCGTCGTTGCCGCTTCTTTCACCGCCATAGTCGCCGCCTCCTGCAAACGTTGATGCAACTGTTGATGGTGCGGTAACTCCACACCCAAGCTGGCCACCAGATTGTTGAGCATATCGATCTTCTCTCTTATTTGCTCGCGTTCAGCTTGCAGAAGTCGCATTTGAGCCGCCTTTTCGTACTCGCGCTGCTTAAGCATGCGACGCTGGGTCTGATAGAGCGCAACATATTCGCCAATGGTCTCGGTCTCGCCTTGCAACTGCAGCACCAGATGCTCTAGACTTTGTTTCTCCTCGGTGAGGTCGGCGACTTTGCTAATAAGGTGCGTAAATCTCGATTGCAGTCTCTCCACAGCCTCGGCGGTAGGAAGCTGATCAAGACCTGAAGTTGGGGGCTCACTTGAGTGGTGATGGGAATGCGTGCAGCTATGATCGTGATCGTGGTGATGCCCATGGTCATGCGCATTGTGTGTGTGATCATGGTTATGATCATGATTATGTTCATGATCATGACTGTGATCATGATTGTGATCATGATTATGATCATGCGCCTCCGTGGCCTCAACACCTTCTGCAACCTGCTCCGTAGAGGTTTTGTCTAACTGCGCCACCACTTCTTCAGTATGATTATGATAAGCCTTGGCCTGCAATAAAAATTTCATCTCGAATTACAAAGATCTTATTCAACAACAAATCATGGGTAGAAATTGTAAATAAAAATTATCGACCTAAGCTGCGTAGCTTCGTTGACCTAGCTCAATGGTTAATTTAAAAAAAAAATGCTTGCATTTTGCAAAAAAGGGCTGATCAGTAAAAGTGTTACTTGTGCTTTTTTAAAGTTTTTTTTTACCGTTCTGCTGATTTTCAAGGTTTCCAAACATTTAGCATTCGTTATTTGTAATATTCTCTTTTGTTAAAAAAAAAAACAATAAACGACTAAAAACAAGAATGGAATACTAATGTGTTAGATATTCTCTTCCCATTCCGATAAAAAAAATTATAAATGTCGTACAGAAAGAGGAACATGGCTTATTCTGAAGTCTCACCTCATAGTGCCGCAAGCGGTCCAATTGTTGTTGTAGCATCAGTTGGCTGCGCGTGAGTTCCTCATTCTCATGCGATAAACGTATCATTTCCTCATCTTTGAACTTAAAGCGCTCCTCGTTCTTCTCCAGCCGTTCTTGCATGGCCGCATAACTTTGGCGCATATCCCGATTGGCAAACTCTTCGGCATCCAGTTTATTCACCAACTCTGCTTTGTCGTTGGTCAATTGGACAAAGCGCAGCTCCAGCTCATCTAGCTGCCGTTTCATTTCCACATTTTGTGATAGCGCCCGTGATGCTGCCACTTTGTCCGACTCCATAGTGGCTAAGAGCTTCACCTGATCGGGCTGTTCCGTTTGCAGCATTTCCAATTGTTTTTCCAGTTCAACAAGTGCTGCACTCTTTTCCTGGAGTTGCTCCTCCTTCTGCTGTAATTGATCGTCCTGCGATTTTATTTTCAACTGAAATTCATGTCGTTCGAATTCGTTATCATTGAGACGCTCCTGTAACTGAGCGAGTTGCGTGCTGAGCTCCGCCTTCGAAGTGTCCTACAAATATTTCAAAACATAATTATGGATGTTTTCTACAAAGAAGAAATCATTTGTCTTGCGGTGTCACTTACCGCCTCCTCCACTTGCTTGCTGTTCTCTTTATATTGCGCTTGCAGTGTCAGGTTTTTCTGTATATCGCGCTCTAGTGTGCTTACGTGCTCCACCAGCTGCTGCTCCCGTTGTTGCAGCTGCACCAACTCCTCATTTAATTCAATATTGCGCTCGTTCAGCTTGGCGATCTCGCTGCTCTGATGCTGCACATAGTTCTGGTACTGTGTGTTGGCCTGCTCCTTATCTTGGGTCAGCTGTGTTACCATCGCCTGCAGGTCCCGGATTTGCTGCTCGTACATATATTGCGTTTGGGTGAGCGTCTCAACACGATTGTCTGTATTGATGTTCGACTCGTCCGACAGTTGTCGTATGCGTAGTTCAGCCATCTCCAGCTCATTGCGTTTAGTGGCCAGTTGCTGCGTTACCTCACTATGGGATTCTCCCAATTGTTTCAGTTGGGCCTCCAGCTCCGACACATGTGTTTGCTGATCTTCAATGTTTGCATGTGCCAGCGCCAGCTTGTGCTGCAGCTCGGCGTTTTGATTGCGCAGATGTTCATGGCTGCGTTGCTGCTCCAGCACTCGCTGCTGCACTTGCTCCAATCGCTGGTTGCTGCTAGCATATTCTGTTCGTAGCTCTTCCAGCTCGAGCTCGCGTTCGCGGCAAGCACTACGGCTTTTGGTCAGTTCTGTGGTCAGTTGTGCCTTCTCCGAAATTAGTACTTGTATAGCGTTGAGATTGGCAGCCGCTGCAACATCACCATTGTATGCCGACTCCGCGTGGCCAAAGAAGGCAGCTGCTGTGGGCAGTGCTGTTGCTGCTGTTGTTGTACTGGCGTTTGCGCCCTGAGTGGCCTCTCCGCTGGACGCATACGAGCACGGCTGCGTGACGCCGCCACCATTCAACTCGGCATCGGATCGCTCTGAAATGTTGCTCGCAATGCTGGTCGTCGATGAGGCTGTGTGTATCTCATCCGGTCCAGCTCCGCTATTGTTATTGTTGCGTTGCTGATACTCCTTCAGCTGTGCCAATATTTGTATTTGAATAAATATACATCAATGTGGTGACACGTCAACAGCTGTGCTTATTACCTTTTTTCGTGCAGCGGCCAGTTTCTGCGCCTTGGCTTCTTGTGTGTCGTCCGGCATGGCCAAGGAACAGCAAATGTTCGACCGTTGCTCTTGTCTACGCCTTCAAATGTTAATAGGTTAGTAAATTATAATTTTGCGACAGCAATCACCAGTCTTCGCTAATGCAAGTGCTCGAACGATACTTGTGAATGTGTTCTCAACCAAATAAGTAGTAAATTTTGCTCAGTACAATTTATCGATACCTTCAGTAATTTAAAGCCATTGAAAAGGTCGCGCGTGTATAGTTTTAGACAATTTGAATTGGCACTTAATATATGATGACTATTTAAATTTCAAAATATTCTGCATACATATATTTATTCTTTAGAAACTAGTATTTATTCTATATTAAATCTGTTTGAATCGGGTATAATTTACCCTTATTTTAAACAAATATTTTCGACAAAGTTGCCAGATTGATGAAATATGCTGCACGTTCAGAACAGAGTATTTTTTGTTACCAAACCATCGGTCACACTGCTAGGGATTTTGCATCAGTTATATTTTTCGCGCTGTTTGATGAAGACGCTGAGCGGTTAAGTACGGTTGTTAAGTTTTCGAAATACGAAAGAGCGAAATTTCGTCGGAAAAGTAGCTTGCAGTTAATGTGAATCAATTTGAGGTCCCGTTACTGTAGGTGTGTGTAAACGCAAAGTCAAATCAAAAACAAAAATTGAACTGTAAATCAAAGTGCATATTAAATACAAATTGTGGTCGACGCGCAGCATCCTTGCGTATGACGTCATTTACGCCTAGTTTATGTTCGTGTGGGCTTTAAGTGTGTGTATGCATGCCTGTGAATTGCACTGAAAGTGGAACGGAAAGAGGAGTTCATTTATTTCGCATCTGCCCATCAATGTTAAAACTCACCCACCCACCTACAATCTGACTGTGAACTGGTTGCCATAGCCAAGGCCGCATAAATACAAATACATGCAAACCTATATATGTGTGTTTAGAACATATTTATGTTCATACATACAATTGTGTTATCCTGTGTGTTGTCGCGCGTGTTAACAGGATTGCGTATCGAAGCGGCTTACGAAAAGAATTATTATTTTTTGGCCTTTGAAGTGTATTTTATTTTGTTTATTGCATTACAAAGAATCAAATGCCTGTATTTCACATTTTTTTTTTTTTAACTTTTTATAATAAAGAACATTTGATGATTCTATTTTTTTTAATTTCTAGAATTTAGCAATATTTTGAACGAGCATTTAAAGAAATAACATAAACATATTAAATCTCACGAAGGCAGCAACAGATTAATACTAGTGGTGAGTAGTACATTTAGGGGTCAATCTAGCCGATGACCTATACGCAATAAGATTTGGTGCAGAGACAAATGCATGAGTGCACAATCTTAATATTACATATGTACATACATACTTGTACATATGTTCCTGAAAATACAAAACATGCTGGAGCTGTGTAAAATTTCATCATACACACATTATACAGCTTGAACAATTGATTGAAGGTTGATCTATTCGTACTTGACCTAATTCATTCTGAACTACATACATATTTATGTACATATATACATGTACCTATGTGCACACAAACATACATACTTGTACATGCATTTATCGATTGTCATATCAAATTAGCTGTAAGTCGAGCCTTTGAAAATAGACTTCTTGGTGAATCACATGGATCAAGCAACAGGCAAATTCCACGAAAGTGCTTAAAGGAATTCAACAAACTGAATACATACATACATATCTACATATGTATGTACTATGCATGTATATAAGAATGTGGCCTGAACAGTTTTACACCGTGAGAATAAAATTACATACATACTTATACATGACATATGTACATATGAACATGATATGTGTATATAAATGTATTAATTTGTTGCATTATTGTTTTGTAATATTTTTCAATGCCCATGTAAATCCACTGTTAACACCATCATTCCACCACCCACTGTATCCCATTGTTACAAAATATTTAATCTACTTAGAGTTCTGTTGTGGGATGATGGCTGCTTCGCGGATATTGAAAACTTTTGGTCTCGCACTAAGCAGTAGTTGTTCTTTCCGTTGAAGGTTAACTCTTGAAGTGCTGTTATCAATAAGTCGAAGATTCCCACACACCATTCACTCACGATGCAGCTTTCAAGTTTGTTGCAACTTCTAATGCATTTTTAATGCTTCCACAAATGCGCAAAGTCAGTGTCCAACTGGGTCCAACTATTTACTGAAGCTGAAGAAGCTGACTTGACCCCAAGCCCGTAGCCGCAAAAAGTGAAACTCACATAAATAAAACTTCAAATGTGTTGGTTGGCAGCAGCGGAAAGGGAAGTCTGTAAAGCGACAGATAATGCCACGACTCGGGCCGAAAACTTTATCGGGGCAGAGGAAGGGGCGGTGGCAATACTAACGGTACAAAGGCAACCCCCGAAAACTGGCGAGACACGCGGGAGGCTGTAAATAATAAAACAGCAGACAAGCAGCAGACTGCAAAGCAACAACACAACAACAACAAGAACCACCACAGCTCTAGGGGTGTCGTCATACTTGTATAAAAAAAGGGAGCTTGGGGCTACCCCATCGAAAAGTACAAGCCAGACCATGGAGTACCTACCTAGTATGTGAACATCGAGTACAACGCACTCTCTCAAAGGAATATGTCGAGCAGACGGCATTGGGACAACATAATCAAAGGCTTTTATTGTGCCATCAAATAACCAGAAAAGTGTTGGCTGAAGCGGTTGAGCCGGATACCAAGGGATAGGAGGGGTGGCGGTGTTGGGGCTGGGAAGCGCAGTTGGGGCCCTCTGTTATTAGGCCAGGCATGACCCAACAGGCCGGAAATCGGCAGAGCTGCATAACTTGGCTCTCGTGACAAGTGCCGGGCATGGCACGTTCGACCCAAAAAGCAAAAGGCTGGCAGCGAAGGGGCGGGAAGGACCGCAAGGGTGCTCCATGTGCCCCAAGTGTCAGGCGGCAGCGAGAAGCAAAATTACCAAAGTGCTTCCGTGTTATGGTGAAATCGATTTTTATTGATAATCATGAAGTTGAACGCACTTCCCAGACGATTGAGTTGCTGCATCATCTCCTACATAAGATTATAAGAAATAATGAGATCTTATATTTTCATTTTGAATACTCAAAATTATATGTTTTCGTTTAGCTTTTGTTGAAATAGTTCAATATATAGTCCTTTTCTTTTTTATTCCGAATTCTTTATAGCGTGTTTTAACATTTTGGAAATTTGATCTTTTTCGCAATTGAAAATTATTGTTTTGTAGAAATGAAATAAAAATGATCGATTTTTTTTAATGTTAAGAATAGCATAGAATTTGAAAAGTACATTTAAAAAAAATTGAAATATATTTTTTTTGCTGCCGTTAAACGCATTTACTGCTGCATTTGAGGGCTTTAAATAGCCGGTTTCTATAGGCAGGTTAGTGGTTCATGTAACATCTAATCTAGAGATCTGGAGGCAAAGCTTTTTATCCCCTGTATCCAAAGTTTAAATGGTGCTCCTACATTTGTAAGATCGTATGTAGAACTATGACTAAACGATTCGATATAGCCATGTTTGCCTGTCCGTCTGTGTGAGGACAAGGATCCGAATAAGTAGCAAAGCTAGCTCTTCAAACTTGTTTATCTCGTGCTTAGAGCCGAGACAGAGTAAGATTGTTCTTGACGGTTCAAATATCGTGACTACAAATTGCATACCTATTTGTCAACTTCTGATTTGGTTGCTGTCTTGGTTTAAATCTGAGAATAAACAAAAACCCGTTTCACCTAAATGTATGTATGTACATACATATTTTTATTTAATTTTTCTTATTATATTACAAAATTTAACCGAAAAATAAATATAAAAATGTATATAAGAATCGTTATTTAAATAAAAATGGTTATAATAAAATAACGCAAAAAGAATAGTTGATTGAATATCTAAATAAGCGAATGCGTGAATGAGGTGGCTGATTCAGGTGGAACTTATGGCTCTAACTACTTAACCAATTTATCAAAATGAGTTGAAAAACTCAAAGGTAAAGGATACCTTAAGTCGAAGAGGCTTTACTATAAAAATTACTATTCCATTGGGTTTCCTTCATCAACTAATCACCCACACATATTGCACACTCTTTTTCTTAATACTTTTGACTATGATTCCTGTTTTTTTGTTTTCTTCTGTTCGCAACGAGATCTCAGACTTTTGCTTTTAGTTGCAATTTATGTTTTGGACGCATTTTAGCTCCTGAAATTTGATAAGCTCCGTTGCTTTAAGCAAATTTAGCCACCAAAGTGTTCCCAATGCCCCACGACCCTGAACATCAAACAAATTGTGCTCAGTTCTCGATTCTTGTTGCCTGCGGCAATTTCTTTGGCTTGGCCAACAACTAAACACCCGACGCGTTGCCAAGCAAGCTGTGTACAAACAACCCTTGCCCTGCAGCCCTCCTCCACTTCTCACCTCCATGGTAGTGCCGGCCTGCGGGTCGTTAGAGTCAGCGATGTCGTCTTTGCCGCGCCAGCGGTGCGGCTGAGGGATCAACTTGTCTACTGGTCTGCTGCTCATTTCGTTGCTACTACCATTTATTTTTGGAAACTTTTTTGCTACGTTTCGAAACAAGTTTTATTTACTTGTGTCGCTTTTTTATTTGCTTATCAATTCTGTTCCATTTCTTATTGTCGTTTCCATCATTGTTGCCATCTAACACTTCTGCTTTGTTTTATTTTGCCTTTCCCTGTTCTCTGACTCTTGCTTTTTGACTGTTGAAATCCATTAGACAAGACAATGACCACTTAATGATTCGGGCAACTCCAAGCGCCCAGACTTACTTCGATTCCAAGCTCCTCTCTGGCCTTATTCTGTTTTGCTTTTTCGCTGCTGAGCGCACTTGGAGCTCTTGGTCAAAAGTTAAGTGCTTTGCGTTGAGCCATAAGCCGATTTTGGGAAGTGGTTGATGAGCTGGAGGATTGGTCTATAATTTCAGGGTGTCCTGGGTGCCTGAGCAAGTTAAGGCGTAGATTGAAATCAAATGTCGCTGTGGGAGCTTATTGTGCGAGAAAGTAAGCAAAAGTATTACGATATTCATTATTTCAATTAAATCCAAAATAAGGGTGGCTATAGTATTTAGAGGGCAACCATAACTGAAAAAACTGCGTACTATACTCGAATGTAGCCATATACATAAATACAAAAGTATACTAAGAAGTATGTACATATGCAATACGAGAAAATATGAGAAATACTTTCGTTTAATTTTAATTATTATTATTCAATACAATATAAATAAGCCTTATAAATAAGACAATATAAGTCTTATGTTGAAAAGAGAAAAATCAATTATATTCCTTTACGCTTTGGGTACAAAAAGAACTCAGCACAAATATGATCAGAGAGATGGGCTTTAATTAAATGTATATTTTATGATTTTTTGAAATTGAATTACTGCCACAATTGCTAGACATTTTCCAATGCGAGCAACGAGTGAGTTTGGAAAGTGAAGGTAATTGCCGAATTACAAAATGATCGGCTTCTACATCGGTTCCATTTTTCACTAATAACTTCATTTCTGGACAAGTTATATGGGTTTCTTCTACTATGCGTGATAATTAGTTGAAGGTACTTATTTGTGATTCCGTTTTAATAAGTATTTTCGCAGAAATATATGCTGTGTGCTCTGGTTTGTTAGATTACAACTTTTCTGGGTAGGGGAAAAAAATAAACGCATATACTTTTTAAAATATTAGTGCTTTGAAGCGCCCATTAAACTTATTTAGACAATATTTTAACATTAAAAGTAAAGGGTATGCTCAAAATAACAATTCTTGTCAAAATGTTCTTCTTAATATTTGTGTAAGGTTAAGAATGGGTCGGGGATATCATATTTCATAGCTACGCAAAGGGAAATCATAATTAAGCTCAAAAATAAAATGGATCAAACCAATCAGACCAATCAAGCAGTTCATCATAATAGTTTTTCTAAACACATTTCTATGCATTTACATACGAGTATATGTCAAATTTCTTTTAAAGCTTTGCCTCTTGTATTGGATTCGTGATCAAACTAAGCCGTAGTTTCCATATCTCTTTCCCTTTTCCCGTCTTCCCGGTAACTTTTCCGCATGTTTAGTTCCCATGACATTAAAATGGCGCCAATGTTACTCGCCCATCGACTGAATAAGTGGCAGGCAGCCTGGAGCATGGCGATATTAAACTTATATGTTTGCCACGCACACACAGCTGTGCCGAAGGACCTCGACAGGAAAAGAGGCGGCAAATATACAGGCACAAGAAATAA